GGGGTAAATTTTTAAGTCGGGGGTTTTCGGCCCCCCCCCCCCCCCCCCCCCCCCCTTACAGACCATAGCTACGAAAGAGAACATTACAGACACCCCCCTCTCCCCATTACAGACCTTAGCAACTGCGTGAAAATAAAAGTTTCTGTTCGAAATTTAGAGATAAAAATGTAACATTTTCTAATAATCGATTATCTTTAGAAAAGAACTATTATCTTTTAGAGATTTTAAATATTGAGCATTTTGTCATTAGTATAATGAAACCAAAGGAGATATGTGAGTTCCACATTTCAGCCCCAAAGGGGCTGCGCTAACAAGCTTTTTATATGTTACTCAAGGTAATCAAAAAGAAAATCATTGTTGACGACCTTTATTTAAAGGACTTATCTATAAAAAACAATTTAGCGTTAGCGACATGACACAAGAAAAAAGCGTGAACTTTCATTTCATGAATTTCAATTTAAAAAAACTCGAAATTTAGACATTATTTTTGAAAATCATAAGGCATTTCTATCGAAAATTTGTTCTGAACACACCTAGATTTTTCAAGAAAAAAAAAACCGACTTATTTTTTATTAGCGATGTAACGGAGTATGATTATACAAAAAGAAGAAATGCTTTTATAATCGAATGGAAAGTTCAAAGGTAAATCCTTCTTCAGAATCTCTAAAATCAAACGCAAGCTTGATCTTATTGAAAATTCCATCAAAGATGACCATCAAAAATAACCTATTAAAACGAACTTGAAATCATTTTTTAGTAATCACACAATTAAGAAGATCATAAATTGCAAATTGATGTGTATCAAATTGCTTCATACATTATCAAAAATATTATACTGATATAATAATGTGATAAGATCGTATTCTATAAAAGTACATATCGTAAATAAAGTTGTTTTAATCATTTCATGTCAAGATTTATTTCATATTTAAGTAATAGAATCATGCAGTTACATTCTTATATGACGAACTTTTCTTTCGAATGTTAATATCAACAATATATTTTCACGAAAAATCATGAAATTTTATCATTCAAATGATAATAATATAGAGACGTAAACAACAAACTGTAAATTAAGAGACAGACGACTGGCTAATATAAAATAGCGCAATAGGCAAAACAACTGTATCCATTTATCGAGGAGCGATCTAAAATAAATTGTCATCTTTCATTTCAAATTCTCTTAACTATGTACCCACAAACTCTAACAACCGAGAATGATCTATAAACCTTTTTGGAATGAAACTCACATGACTTTCTATCTGTTTGTGATTTCGTTTTCAAGGTTTTGTCAATTCATTGGATGATCTGAATTCCGACAGCTTTAAATGTTATTCGAATTCTGCTATATTTTCATAGTTTTAGGAGGATTATTGATTTTCTGATCCATTCACCAATTTCTTTGGATTTTCCACGGTTATAAAAGCTTTGTCGAGTGCTTTCTAATGTATGAACATCCAAACGGACTACTGCTACATCTCCTTGAAAAAATAAGTTTTTTTTCAGTTCAACTAACTTGTCTTAGGTCTTAGTAAATATTTTTCAATATTTTCTTATAATTCTCTTCAATCATCACAAGAAAAATTAGGTCATTTGGTTAAGATCCAGTGAAGATATTTGAATATGTTTTTTAGAATGACTGTGGGACGCTCTGCATTTTTCTCCGTCAAGGAGGAGGGGAAATATCAGTCCATTCAATTCTTCCCGCTGGGTACGTCACTGCTTCAAGATGATACTTAGAACTTTTCGAGACTTTCGGCGAATACTTCCTATAATTTTTTCAAGTTTAGTGTAAAGTTAAAACATGTTACATATAATACTATGAACATGACCAAAACTACAGACTTTATGAATGTGAAAGTTTCAAGAAGTCTTCTTAAGTTTAAGAAAACCTCATGAATGCTCTCGAAATGTTGTGATGTTTTTCGAAACTTTGACAATTTCTCACTCTCATTATGTTTCCAAAAGACTGGAAGTCCACATTTTTTTTTCTCGATACCAGATGCCATGAAAAAGCTTCCGAAAAGTTACAAACAGTTTCTTAAGGTTTGTCAATTAGTTTTTATCAAAAAACTATTTGATTAGTTCAGTTCTTATAAAACCTTTGCAAGCACATAGTAAATTCGAAGTTGAAATTTACATTTGTTTTATAATTCTATTACTCAAAATAATATTGATATGAAGAATGATCATGTCAAATAAATATTTCTATAATACTTAAATACAGATGACAAGAACAAGGAAGCCACTATTGATGTTATGAATATCAGACGTCGATCTTTAGCAAATTTTGTTTCATTTGATTGTTAAGCTGAGACGACTAAAATTATTTAATTGGTGATGTAAAATGCTTGATGCCTTTTTGAAAAAAAGACGACAGAACTTGACTAATTTCTGTGATACTGTTTGTGAATAGTTAACAAAAGTCTACGTAATACAAATCATTACAAAATGAAGTTTCACGATGTTCATCATTGTTCTGGATTATTTACATAGATCATATATCAATAAATGTTATGTTAAATTGTCAAAGAAAAGTATAATTTCGTAGGCGGATAACTTGATTTTCATTTTTCTTTGTATATGTCGAAAAAAAAACCATTAAGATCTTTATTTTACTAGATAAACCAGAAAAGTCTATATCTTTTACGACGAAAAAAGAAATTTTGAGAATCTAACTAGATAAAAATTGATAATTAAAACTTTTTGATAATTCTGTTGAACAATATTATTATTTTTGTCGGATTCAATGTTCTTAATGATACCAAAGTTCGATATAGGTGTGTTTCTTTTTGTATTGAAAGAAACATATATATAAAATAATCAAACAATTTTAAGTTCAGTTAATATCATATTGAAAAATTTTGTACGATATCATTATAAGAAAACAGTCTATCAAATACTAACAATGTAATCTTCTTCAAATGTAAATGAAAATATCATAAGTCAAACTATAGAAGAGTATCGAATTGAAACTTATTAAAAAAACAGATGCTATTCTAATTTCAAATGTATAGTGTACCGTATTTTTTATATAATCAATTCAACATCATGCCACTCACATCTAGAAACATAATTAAAAGTTCGTTGGTTGTCTTTCACTTGACAAACTCATTCTGAATCAAATGTATAATATATAAATTGGAATAATTAGATACGAAGATACGCTTTTATATTAATATAGTTTATTGGTACGAGTTTAAAACAAACAAATTTTATGTTCATCAAACTAAACTTGTTTATCATCCCATACATCATAAAAACAAAAGCTGCATTCAAATGAATGAGTACATGCAGAGTTACGAAGTTTCCAAGAAAGAAAAAGTAAAAAAGCCGATTGGTAATTAAGAAAGACACGAACAAGATTGGAAAATACTAAACGAAAGAAAAACAAAATCCACACAAAAATGAGAATAATCCATGCGAAAAATTTGCATGAAAGAAAGAGAATAGCGCATTTACACTCACATACATCGGCCTCTATAAAAACTGAGTTTATTATTGTCGTCTCCTTTAGACAAAAGCAAACAACAGAACACAACAAAAAAAGAAAAGAAAGAATAGACGACGAGGTAAAACGTCTAACGTAAACGTACTTTTCTAGTCATATGAATGCTGAAAGCATGGCAAGTGAAAAAATCAACAATTCAACAAATGACTTCGTTATCGTCTGGTTAGATAGCGGTATTGAAAAGACTAAAGGTAATCGAGAAACAAAAGCATTCATACGACAACTAGTTAGAAATCGTTTACTAACATTTGATGATCCGGATAAATGTGTTGATAATATAACTGATGAATCAACAACAAAACGAGTATTTATTATTGTTTCTAATATATTTGGTGAAAAGGTTATACCACTTATACATGAATTACCATATATACAAGCGATATACATATATTGTGGTGATCAAAAAAAAGCTGAAGCATGGGCTCAACCATATTCAAAAATTTCTGGTATATTCACAAAAAGACCAGCACTATTAGATAAAATTCGTAAAGATGTTGATGTGTGCGATACAGATGAAGATTTACCAATGAGTGTATTTCATCTTACGGAACGAGAAAATACATTACAAGAATTAACTGAAGAAAGTGCAACATTTATGTGGTATCGATCAATAATGATAGTTCTTCGATTAATGGCAAGATACGGTAATGCAAAAACTGAAATGATTGCTGCATGTCGAACAAATTATCATGATAATGAATCTGTAAAAAAGAACATAGATCATTTCGAAAAAAATTATTCTCCAACAAAAGCGTTTGAATGGTATACATGTGATAGTTTTGTATATAGATTATTAAACCAAGCTTTACGTATACAAGATATTGATATTATATTTAAATTTCGATTTTTTATCAATGATCTTCATAATCAAATCGAACAACATTATCATCAATATTTAGATATCTATTCTTCTATTATGAATCATCATCTAAGAGTTTATCGTGGTCAACGTTTAAGTCTAACTGAACTCGATGTACTTAAACGTAGTGTACATGGACTTATCTCCATGAATAGTTTCTTAAGCACTTCATTAAATCAAGAATTAGCTACAATTTTTGCTGGTATAAGTGATCCATCGAATAGTCCATCATCATTACAATCTGTTATTTTCATCATTGATATTTATAATATGAGTAAAGAAACGACACCATTTGCAATTCTTAAAAACTATTTCGGTTGTCAAGATGACGAAGAAGAAGTACTTTTTTCGATAGGTGCTATTTTTAAGATTCAATTAGTTGAACAACAAAATAACATGTGGCATGTTCATTTACAACTAAGTAAAGAGCAAAACGAACTTAGTCGAAACCTTTCAAAACACATGATGGAACAAATTGGATCTGAACCAGATCCATTGTTATTCGGTTGGTTTCTTTTTCGAATGAGTGAATTTAGAAAAGCCGAACGTTATGTGGAATATATGCTTACACAACTTCCATCGAATGATAAAGCCATTGGAAATGCATATAACTTACTCGGTCTTATCTATAAAGATACTCATAAACTAGAGCAATCTGTTGAATATTATGAGAAAGCTCTTGAGATTTATTCTCGTTTGTGTCGTCGCGATAGTCCTCAAGTTATTGCTACTCATTGTAATCTTGGTTTGGCTTATTTGGCATTAGAAGATATTCGAAATGCAGAAGAACAACAAAGACAAGCCGAAGAGAAGTTGATCAATTCCCCACAATCAAAAAATTCATTAGTCATAACTTCACTCAATAGTCTCAAAGCAAAAATTCAAATAGAATATGGTAATAATGTAACTGCTTTGAGAGAGCTTGAATTGGTTTTAAAGAATAGAAAGCATCAATTACCAGCAGGTCATCCTTCAATAGCATCAACATTGAATGCAATAGGTATTGTTCAAGAAAAAATGAACAATAATGTAGAAGCACTTGAATATTTTAAACAAGCATTGGATATCGGAAAGAAAAGTTTACAACCTGAAGATATGGATTTAGCTGAATATCATACAAATATTGCTCGTATTTATGATAAACAAGAAAATTTTCAACTTGCTTTGAAACAATTTGAATTAGCACTAAAAATTACGGAGAATTACCGAGAAGAAGAACATGATAAGATTATTAAACTAAATAAATATATCACTGACACAAAGGAGAAATTACTTCAGTGAAAAATTTTTTTTCAAGAATTTTTTGTTGTTGTTCTTGTTTTCTCATTTATTTTAATGACTTTAAAATAAAATTCAATAATAAAAACATAAAAAGAAAAATAAATTTGATACTTTCTACATATTCGAAATTACTAATATACTTCCAAATATTTGTCTAATAGTATAAAGTTTAGTTGCAAAGTGTCGAGCGATTTATCTATCATGCTTTTATTTGTAAATTCCAATCGATAATGTTTAGATAATTCTCTTTGGATCAAATTAATTATAAAATGTTCAATTATATATATATAAGTATTAGCAAAATATTCAACCTTGATCAGTAAGAATCTAGATTTGATTAGGAGACGAAAAATAAATTTTAAATCAATAAGAAGACATGTAAAATGTAAATGAAAATTCAATTCTTGTACTAACAAAATAAGTTTAGCTTTTGTTGATCTAACTCGTTGTTTTCTCACTTATCAGGATTGTTTTTAATAGTCACACTCACACCCTATAACATATTTTGATTTTAATACTTACTATTTGCTTTAATTTACTCATTTTTAAATATATTAACAAACCTTAAAGATTTTAATAACTGATTTTATAATTATTTTACATTCGGACAATTTCATCTCTTCTATTAACCATTTAAAATCACGTAGGATAGATGTAATATTTCATACTGATGAACATCTCACTTTCGGTAACTATTGGATTTTTCATACAAGAACTAACTGTTTTGATCATTATTATTTAGTTTCTTTTTATTTGATCATTTATTATTTGATTTTTAAGAAGAATTCATAAGAAATTTAATTTATCATATTTTAATTTATTGCTTATGAAACTATTATGATATTCATATCTTTACTCCTTTCAAAGAATGTCAAAAGGGTGCAGATACTAAAAACAATTAAACCAACAAGAATAACTGTAAAACTAACGTTCAAAAGCAATGTATTCATATATTTTGTTATACTTTTCATTTCTCTTCTTAGTGGTGTAAAAAATATATATGCATAAAAAAGAAAAAAAGAGATAAATAAAATATCTCATGAATCTATGTCTGCGTCATATATTCTATGATTAAGAAATTTTACATTCATTGATATACATTGACAGAAAATTTAAACATCATTCAACAAATTAATTTATTACCTTGGACGGCGATAGCTTATCTAATATTTATGATATAATGGTGACAGTTTATGCTAAGTAGTATTCTCTTTTATTAATTATATTGTCTAACATTATTGGAATGTGACATGATCAAATCTAGAGATGGAATTCTCTTTTATAATAAAAACTGAAATTTATGACAAAAATTTTTTTATTTTAAAAGAGTTACTTTTAAGGGAAAATCTTTTGTTTACTTTCAGTGAGAACATGACGTTTCAAAATAGAATTCAATTTATACACTGAGTGAATTTATTATTTGTGTTTATTTATGTTCAAATGTTTAACAGTTAGTTGTTCGCCTTTAACTTGACGAGTTCATTATGAAGTATTATTATTGAAATTACTACTATTCTACATTAAAAGATATTTGAATAACAATTGTTCCTTTTGCTACAAAACTTTATTCAAATTTTTGATTTTTCAATAAATGAATATAAAAGATCGTTCTAAAGAGTGTTGTTACATTTCCACATATATGTAAAATAAATATTGCTTTTATATACAACTAATTCGTTCGAGATATTTTTGAACATTTTACCTATGATAAATATAGTTTTATATTTTTCCATTACTAAGAGGTTGAATAAATATGAAAATCCATCAATTGCATTATATACAAAGTCGAATTATTAGATATAGAGATACATTTTTGTCTCAGTATACATTATTTTTGAAGTTTAAAACAAAGAAAAAGAATCATGTTTGTCAAACTAAATTCGTTTCTCATTCAGTATATCATAAAAATACAACAATTGCATATAGACGATTGAGCACTTCTAGATTTGGAAGTTTTCAAAGAAGAGAAGAGAAAAAGACTATTAATGATAAACAGAAACATGTCGAAATAGGAACAAATCACGAGAAAGAATTGTAGAAAGGAAAGACAATATCACACAGTACACTCACACGTACGACAAATTTTATAAAAATAGAATCTATTTTTGTCGCTTCATCTATAAGAAAACGAACAAAACTATAAACGAAAAAAAAAAGCAAATGAATAATAGACGATAAGGTAAGGCAGTTAAAAAGCAAGCTTATTTTTTTTAGTCGCATCTATACAAAAGCATGGCAAATGAAAATATCAATAATTTAGCCAACAACTTCGTTGTCGTCTGGTTAGATAGTACTATTGAAAAGACTAAAGATAGTCAGAATACAAGAGCATTTTTACGACGACTGATTAGAGGTCATTTATTAACATTTGATGAACCGAATAAATGTTTTGATGATATAACTGATGAACCAACAACAAAACCAGTATTTCTTATTGTTTCTAATGTATTTGGTCGAGATGTTATACCACTTATACATGAATTACCATATATATAAGCGATATACATATTTTGTGGGATCAAAAAAAGCTAAAGCATGAGCTCAACTATATTCAAAAATTTCTGGTATATTTACAAAAAGACCAGCACTATTACATAAAATTGGTAATGATGTTGATGCATATGATACAGATGAAGATTTTGCAATGAGTGTATTTCACTTTGCGGAACAATAATATACATTACAACAATTAACTAAAGAAAGTAGAGCATTTATGTGGTATCGGTTAACATTGATAGTTCTTCGATTAATAGCAAAAAAATACGGTAATTCAAAAGATATTCTTTTCATCATTGATATTTATAATATGAATAAAGACATGACACCATTTGCAATTCTAAAAGATTCTTCGTGTTCTCCAGATAATAAAGATGAAGAAAAAGAAGTACTTTTTACAATAGGTGCTATTTTTAAAGTTCAATCAATTGAACATTATGGCAACATTTGGTATGTTCATCTGCAACTAAATAAAGAACAAAATGAAATTAGTCGAAATTTTTCAGATCACATGATGAAACAAATTGGATCAGAACCAGATTCATTATTATTCGGTTGGTTTCTTTTTCGAATGGCTAAATTTGATGAATTTGAACGTTATGCGAAAAAAATACTTAAACAACTTCCATGAAATGATAAAGAAAGGGAAAATGCTTATAACTTACTTGGCATTATCTATAATACTACTCATCGTTTAGAGCAATCTGTTAAATGTTATGAGGAAACTATTAAATTTATACTCAATTGAATTGTCACGATAGTTCTCAAGTTATTGCTACTTATTGTAGTCTTAGTTTAGTTTATTTGGAATTAGGAGATAATCGAAATGCACAAGAATAAGCCGAGAAGAAGTTGTCTAACTCCTCACAATCACAGAATCCATTACTCATAGCTACAGTGGAGAATCTCAAAGTTAAAATTCAAACAGAATATAGTGTAATACACTGACACGAACAAAACATTAGATCAGTTATAAAATTACTAATGGCGATTTTTTTCTTTTCATGAATTTTTTGTAATTTTTTCTCATTTATTTTGATGATTTTACAATAAGATTCAATAATAAAAACAAAATAAATTTGGTACGTTCTACATATTCAAAATCAGTATTATATTCTCTAGTTATTCAATCCGACTAGTAATTCATTAAATAGAAAAGCAGTTTGATTCTCTAAATAAAACTTCATTCGATGAAGAAATGAAAAAAAAAGCAAGTACTATGTATTCTACTCTTCTAGTGCGATGTAAACTAACAATCAATCATACTTTTAATCTGATACTCATGAATATGTAAGTTTTAATAATCATTTTGATTTCAGTAAAAGTTCTAACAACATGAAATAAAAAATATAAAAATAAAGAGATATTTTTAATTCGGTTTTTTTTTAAATATTCGAAATAGTTGCTACAATTATCTAATTTTCATTCCTTCTAATAATTTGTCAAATCTGTTTTTTTTAGACTTTTCTTCTGGATTATTTTTAATTATATTCTATAAACCAAACGAGCCAATGAGTTTTCATTTGTTTGGTCAGTTAAATTACGCTCAATATAATCGTCTAGCTCAAAACTATATCATACAAGGTCTGATGAAAACGATGGATGCGGTATTAAATTAACACCTTCTTCTGTTAAATAATTAATAATATCTGCAGAAATATGAGATCGAGCACTGTTATGAAGTAATTTTTGCATCTGATAACTTTCTTTGTTCTAATTTATGCTCTTGCCTTTATCTAAATTATATATAAGAACATGAATATTTCATTTAAAAAATATAGAAAACAAAGTTTTAGATTCAAGTTTACTTTGACAAAATCCACCTTGGATTAGTTGGCTTGCACACAATCTGACTATGATAAATCGATGTCTTCTCATCCGATATAATATTATATGATCATCATAATTCATCAGAAAATTGTAATACATTTTTGTTTTACATCTAGATTAGATCAAAAAACACTGATATTAACTATTTCTCAAAGTTATTATCTGATTCCTTTACGTTTCTTATATTGATCGAATAACGACGCTAGAATATCTACGAATGACTATGTATCATTCTTGAAATCTGAAATATAAATTTTTACCTGCTGAAAAACTACACAATTTAAAACATTCACAAATGTATTATGTCTACCGAAATTTTCGTCGCTGAGCAACTTCGGAAATGATTTCAGTGCGTGTGGTCTTCAATTGCAATGAAAACATAATCATTGACCAACCCGATTGCTCATGTCTCTATACTGAGAGGAGAGCAAAACTTCAACTTAAAACTTACATTTACAATTATATTGGAAAGTATTTGTGAGTTCTACAAAACAAGAAGAACTATAGAATTCTTGATATACAAACAGTAAAGATAAAAGTAAGCTGATTCATATTATTTTTGAATCTCTTATCAAAACGCAGATAATGAAATAAAGCAAATAAAATTTGAATAATATTTTTGAAAAATGATGAGAATTTAAATATATTTATAACTGTGTGTAATAATTTAAGATTCTTTTTTGTTTGTAAAATTAAATCTCTGAAATATTTTTACTGTTGCGATATGCGATTTTAATAACTAAGAAGAATTCAAAAAAAAAATCTAAGTTGACTGAAAATTTCTATACAAACGATCAAATAATCCATTGATTATTGTTTAAATATTTTATCCTTTTATTCGTCTGTTAATATCTTGCTCTTCACATTCCATCTAAATCTAGAAAAAATAGTGCCTATTATTATTGGCTTTTTTGTTATTGTATCTTACAATAATCAATAAGTATTTTATTTAGTTGGTTCGATATCCCGAACATAAAATAGTAATTGTGGCACATATGTCCATGATAATTAATACAGTTTGTATGTACTCGTAAACAAGCCTATTACATTGTATATGCCTATACCTTGATGATGTTATATAGCTTAGTATAAGTGTTGTATATCTCCGTGTAATATGATCGACAATATTTTGATTGATCGTCTTAATATTATTAGTATAAGACGATTCAAACAATTGATAAATTCTGCCAATACGATACATAAATTAAATATTGATTTTGGTTTAATGTTTATTCGATTGCACTTTACTAATTGATTGTTGTTCGCGAAAAGCAAAAGGTAAAGGAAGCTAACAAGCCTTGAATATATGTAAAAGCACGTAAAAATTATTCAATTAATATTGAAAACAACCTTGACAGTATAGAGCATCTTTTTATACCTGTGACATGTGTTTAATCTTCTAGTTCCTATCTATGACAGGTGTATAAACGAACTATCATTTTCTAATAAAAAAAAACAAATAATTTTATTTTGCGATACGATACATTGGTAGTAAGGTAAAATATCAGTGGGAGTAATCATTTGTTTATTTTTGATCATAATGCAATATCCGTATAATAGTTTGAAAAAGCCATGGAATCCTTGGCAAAATAAACCTTTATTAATAATTGTTGGTATTGGTGTGGGATTAGTTTTCTTAGGTTTAGTATTAGGATTAGGTTTGGGTATTGGACTAAATAATAGTAGTCAAGATTTTGTTCTAATCACTGCAAATGATTCGTCATCAGCAAATGCTACTACAAATACGACATCAACGACTACAATTACCACAACATTAACAACAACAACAACAATAACAACCACTACAACAATAACAACAACGACGACGACGACAAAGGCGGCGGCGTAAGAACAATGGACAGACCTCAGACTATGAATGGGGGGTTTGAACGATTTATTCTAGTTTTCGATTCTATTGACTATGATGACTTTATCTCAAAGGTATATATTATATGACTTTTCTGTCAAATTTTCGATTTAAAAATATTCAGTTTGCTCTTATATGCGGTTAAGTCAATAGAAAGAAAAAAACAACAACAAAATGATCACAGTTTAATCGATTAACTTTGTCACTGTAAACTAATCAGCATATGAGATGAACGTTGTTAATGTTTGATTTTTAATTTATTTGAAAAGAAATTTCGTATTTTTCAATTTTTATAAACAAAATCTTTCCCATTCTAAAGATAATTTGCAAGATAACATATTAAATACAATAAGAGCACTTAATTCTAAACAGTATCTATGATGTTTATAGCAGAACGACTAAAGTAATTTGTAGTATGTCTATCAATGACTTCGTTTTTTCTAATTGAAGTAAGGAGAAAAAATTGAGCTTTTAGAAAATATATGAATATCTCTAAGTAAAGAGTATTGTTTCATATGAGTTATCATATTGAAACAAAAATGAGTCATTTTAAATATTGTTATTTTGATCAATTAAAAATTATATAGCAAACTGAAATCCTAGGTCACAAAAAAAAATGTTGAATTTCCCTTGATCAATCAAAATCGTATACGAAAAACCACAACTTCCATAAATAAATTAATTTCATTAAAAACATCCTACGATTTTTTATATTGAATTAATGAAATAAAATGTATTCTAAACAATATGTTGAGTATATTTCAATAGTTCAAGCCTTATAATTAAATCTTTAATCAATTGATAGTTATAGTTCGAAATGATAAGATGACCGTAAGTAAGAGATGTATAAAATGCTTAAATGCAAGCAAGAGTACCGGAATAAACTTGAGAATCTCTACGACTGTATGTAAATTATGTTTTAAACTATTTGTTCATTCTGTCGTTTTTTGCACATTATATTGTATATAAGCCATACAATTGCTATATTAAAATTATATTTTTTTTTTCAAATATCAATTTGTTTTTCGATTATTTCTTGATCATTCAACATTGTAGAGTATGTTGAAGGATCCATGATACAAGTGAAATTTCCTGAAGGCGATTTTATCGCGATCAACTCATCTCGAAATAATTATATGCGATCGTTTTTCCTGCAACAACTAAGAAGAATAGTAAAATTAATATCAAGAAGAATTAATCAGTATTCATTCATAAAAAAAATGGTAAAATAATGAAGAGTGGACTTAAATGATATATTTTCTTCACTAAACAATTATGTTTATTTGTATAATTAGTTGAATTAATTTTATCTTCGACTGCTTTTATTATCAATGTAAAATTCATAGTTATTGAAGAAAGATATTTTTTTTTTCTAAACAAATTCTTTCTGTTTGTTTATTAATAAAAGCAAATAATCTGATGAGCTTATTAAATAATTTGTTATTATTTCCATTCACAATTCGATCGTTACTTGTTGAATTTATTTGTCATGTAATCGTATCAGGTCGAAATTGATTTACTTGAATTAATCGAATAACAGTCTTTATGAAATTTCGATCAATAATAATTTCTGTTGTTTATTATTATTAATAAAATTACTATATAATATCATATTGTAAGTCTGATTAATGAAATTGTTTAACGAGTTGATCATGTAATACAGTTGAACCAGTAATTTGATGAATTGAATGGTAGATGATAATTTTCAGTTATATTATAAATTAATGAATTTAAATTAAAAAGTAATCATATTATTATGATCTCGTAATTAATCTAATGAGAATTAACTTTGAATGGTTTAATTCATTAAATTCAGGTAAAACTGTGAATGAATAAAATGTATTTTTTCTTCATAATCAAGACGTCAATTTGACATAATTATAGATAAATGAAACAAGACAAAAACAAAAGATTTTTATCTCTATAAAAAAATTGACAAATTTTAGAGAATTAATAGGATATGGATATGCATGTGGTGTAGGTATAGATGTATGTGTATGAGTTTAGACATCACACACCCACATCCTTCTAATAAGGTCGATTTTTTTCAGTTGTGTTTTCCTGTGATAAAGCGAAGATATGGTTAAAATACAGTATGGTTCTTATCTTTACCTGGAATTATTGTTTTTATATTTTGTTCTTTAGTGTGAGGATGACGGATCAAGAAAAGCATAATGTACAAGTCATCAAGCAATACATGACGATTAGGTGTGTGTTTTTTTCCTTTTTTTGAACGTGCACTGTAGTATTTTAGACAACGCATCAACATACGCTAAACTTTGTCTACATGATAAACAAGATGACAATGATTATTTCGTCAGATTTTACGTTCGAGAAATTCAAAATCATATAATTAATTTAGAAATTCCTTTGTTCAAATTGCTTATTTTTATTGGAAATTCGTCATCTGAGTTGGTGTAATTAATGCATGAAACTCAGACGAAAGCGGATAATCTTTTTTTGATAACAGTGATTGCTTTAGCATTCTACTTGGTAGCTCATCTTTGTAGACTACTTGGTATATTTTTTTCATTTAGCTACGATCTGAAACAGGCCTCAGCTCAAAATATTGGTCATCTTCTGGCTTCGGGAAACAGATTCATTGCTCTGATCACCTTTCCTGATGTACACATTTGTGAAACGTTTGTGGAAGAACATGGAAGTAGGTATTTATTTACTTTTTCACAGAATTGATGAAAAGCATCAGCAATTTACATATCATTACTTTTGATTACATCATGACTAACGATGATCATGTTTCATTGAGATCCTCAGTTGAGAGCAGTCACGATGGGAAACCATACAAAGGTAAAAACACACTCTTTTGAAAATTCGTCTTAACTTTTTGGTTCAGGTATTAAAGAAAGCTACAGGACGTAAGGCCAAATGGACCACAGCTGGTTTATTCAAACTGGATAATGGCAAGATTATATTGTAAGTAACAGTCGAAAGAGAGCACACATCAATAAGTTCCGTTAGCATGAGAAAGATCTTTTTAGTGAATCAGTCCCAAATGACTATTATTTTATTATAGTGTGTGAAGTCTTGCCGTAGAAAAACTGTTAGCGTATCCTGTGAAATTAAAATGTGAAAGACAATATAATTTCTGTTAGTATGTATGTAACAAACAAAATTGCATAATTAATACCCAAGTATTTTTTAGTTTGCCTGTTAACACATAGATTCTCCTTATAATAAATCATAACAATAATACAGTAGACTTCACTGTCAAGACTATGTCTACCATGGTCTGTTGGAGATAGGAGTTCAAACGTCTTGTTATATACTTCCATACTTCAGAAGTAAATTTTAAAGTCTAAAAATTTCAATGATTAGGAACGAGACGAAATATGATTATCTTAACTAATAATTTATGCGTCATGTAAATTTTTCCTTCAATCAAAATTACTTTCTATTATACTTGTTTAACCTTCTGTTACTTGCGAAATCAGACTTTTCTGTCTATGTATGTTCTTGCTATACTACTGTAAATAGAAATATGTAAAAATGGTAGAAATAGGGATAAAACGAGCGAATAATGCAAATAGTGCAATGGTCAGGTAACTAAACGGTTGAGTATTGACGACATCGGAATTCAAAGACAGATGACCATGGGAACACCACAGTAACACGACTGGATGTCGATGTGTGTTTGTTTATCTTTTCGGCTAATACTCACACCCATATCTAAAACCACGCATACTCAATAAACCTTTTCGTAGTAAAATAGACAACGCGTACAGTTTTTGGAAGAGTATAAATGCCAATCAAATATTATCGTTTTTTTGTGAACAATTGAAATTGTGGCAAAATTTGATTTGAAGATGAGATACTCATAAAGAAACTTGGATAACCATTTTCACAAGCTAAAAGATAGAAGAATATCGAAAACTATTTCATTTATTGATAACTAATAAGTGTCCCATAATACATGACCAATTTTTGTTTTTTTTCTATATCATCTAATAGGTTTATTTTCAAAAAAAAAATATATCATAAGATTCAGCGTCCGACAACATGTCTGGCATTATTTAACAAGTCCATTGGATCTATTAGTTGTTTTATTTCTAAGTATTCTATTATTACCAGGAATTTTTTTTTACTGTAACATGGTATCCATGGATATATTGCAACATAAAACAAGATACAATACTAAGTAACTAGTATCTTCGTGATTAGAAAAAACTTTTCATACCATGATGAAAATTCTTTCCTTCCGTAATTATTTAATTTGATTTTCTTTTTCTATTTTAGCTAATAAATACACATTTATATTTTATTTATCTACTGTTTCTGCTATTCTAATATTTTTTCATATTGACTTTCTAATTTTTATTTTCTTATCATTTAGATAAGAAACAAAAGTTATTTACTATATCATTAATGCAAACAATATCATGGCATATAAATATTGTGGCATGTATTGCATGTATGTTTGTACGAGCTATAATTGTGGGTGAAAGTCATATAGATATTCCAAAGAAACGAAAAAAAAATTGAATTTTATAAATAAGTGAAGAAATCAGAATCGAATAGGAAACTAAAAGTGTTTTCCGTTTTGTAAATATTTATTTGTATGTGGACTTTGGTTGGTGCTATTGTCACTGCTCAATATGGTTTAGTTAAATTAATAGATGATATATCTCATTCATGAAGAGTAAGTTATCATTATGTCTTTGATCATTATTTTCTATAATTAATATTTGTTTGATTTTAGGTATGGTTAATTGTATTATTTCTTGTGGTTTTGATGGCATGTCATTTGATTCAACTATAACGAAAATATATAAGAGAATGAAGAAAAAAATCAACGACAGTTGTTGAAAAAGTGATTATAGATAAATTTTAAGAAAAAAAATGATCAATTGTATATTCAATTAATACATTCTATAATCTTTCTTACAGTTATCTCTACGGAGTGATAGACCTTGTTGTTATAACATATCCATAGCAAAAAAAAAACACTAAGATTTTCATGAACTTATCACATTCTTACTACTATCATCATTCATTTTTTGCAATATCTTTGGTTTTGACCACACACTACTATTTCGTTTATCATCATTCAGTATACTTCATAGTAATGTACAGATTAAGAGAAGATACATAGTGAAGACTAAATCTATCTGGAATATAGACGGAGAGCTTGTTTTAATCCACTAAAAAAGCATTGTACTGATGGAGAGTGTTTGGTATAAGGAAAATATTCGTATTACATAGATGACTTTTGTTATGACAGTCACCATGTTTGAAGGCAAACAACATTTTCGTTTAATTTCGAGCTCAGCCCGAGCTCTACATTACGCTTGTTTCGAATATCTCATTTGTTTGAAATCCGATACTCGAACAGGATATCTAAATATTTCATTCTACTGTTGATCTAATTGCTTCATCACAAACTGTTGAAAAGCATTTGTTGATAACTGATGTCTTTCCAAAATTGTTTAGTTAATTTGATTATACAGTAGATCATCGAATTTTTAACTCGAAGTCTTATCTAGTCTCTGATTTAAATGACTAAAAGAGACTAAATCGTGATTTTAATAAGAAATACGATTCGATAATCAAATCTGAAAAGGGTTGTCGCATATTGAAAAATGATTGGTTACTGAATCGATAGCACAAAATGAGATTCCCAGATGGGTGTTATTCAAATGAATATAATGACATCCATTTTCTCGAATAATTTAAAGAGTACAACTTTATTCTATGTAGTTCTTCTTTATTTTTGTTTCCTGTTCAGTTATTGATTCAATTGGAATAAAACTCTTCAGAGGAAAACACAAACTCATACGAATTCAAAATTAATGATGTCCTAATCACACTGTCTTCCGCATAATTTAGAATGACGAATGAGCTATGGATGAAACTCCTGATGATTACTAAATTTTGTTTATGGAAGAATTTCTTTCAATTTCGACATCTATCTATGATAATATCCGGATGACAATGAGATTATCTGTTAAGATATGAATCACGGTTCCATTCTATTCTCCGTGTTCACTTGCTTTTCCTTTCTCTTTTTGTTTATTGTTACTCTTTCTCATTGATCAATGGTCTTCTCATGCTTTCTTCTTCTTTCTTTGACTCCTACAATATGTATATATAGTGGTTCAATTCTTCGAATGAGTATCGAACGAGAATGCTGGATGAAGAACAGGAGGTCTTTCTTTCAGTTATTTCGAGAAGAATCTTCATCGATACATGTCTGAAATTGAGAAGTTCAAGTCAACACTGAATTCAAACGAATCGAATTCTATAACTGAATAGATTGGCACCGCTATTCCGAATAGTTGTCTATGAAATTATTTTCATGTTGACAATCGCTGGTCTACTTTATTCCGTTTGACTAGGTACTCCTAACTTCATTGCTGAATTGAAGAAGTTGTTGTCAATTATTGCATTCAGTCATATGAATGGACCCATCATACTTCTCAGAAACAATCGACTGGAGATCTTTTTATTTAGTTTGTTCTCATGAGTAATAGTTGAACATGCTGAAAATATAAAGAAGACCGAATGAATATTGTTTGGTGTCAAAAAAGGTGTAATGTTACATGAAACTAATAATTAACTCAAACAATTTTCACAGTTTAGAAGGTGTAATCAAGTCTGTCTAATTGTTGTAAATAGAAGTACAAGTTTTCACATGTGTAACTGAATGACGTAGGTAATTATAATATTGTTTCATAGGTTGAGCAGTTTTTCTATGACTGTTTATTTGCCATCGCCTAACAATCTTTGTTATGATCAATTTTACAAATAAAGGTTTTTTGTTTGTTTTGGTCTATGCTTCTCATTATTGCGAATCTTGTTGGTTTCCTCGCACATACTTGAAAAAAGTGAAGAATGTTTGAAAGAGATATTCAGATAGAAGGTAGCAATGAAATTACTTTAAAACAGCTTTTGGAGATATTTCCTACTTGATTTCTTTGTATTCATAGTTATCATTCATGAATTTTCTATTTTTCCTATAGTAGAATTTGATGATCGTGTAACCACTGTAGATGAATTCATCGATGTACTACTTGTTATATCAATAGTTACGAATGATGTGAAAGATGATATACTAGAGGAATATGGCTGAATACTCTCTTGATTTTGTTCAGTTTTTATGATAGTTTCATAAATTTGTTGTTCTTGTCTTAAATAATTATTTTATATCCGATAAAATGATTGTAATATTAAAGTCAAATAGGTTTTACAAAGTTAATGATTAGTTATTATGTATTGTAATTAATAGGTTTATGATAATTTCTTGTCTCTGAAACACAGTGAAGCCTTTTTTTCAGTAGATATTCTAGTCTATAGGCCCAAATACGAAAATTCTGTGTGATAAGAGTAGATGAAGAAATCGACGTTTTCTCAGATGCCTTATTATGGCAAAACAGAGTGAACATCATTTTTATTTAGCTTATTTTTCGACTGAATTTCAATTCGATTATTTTTCTAAGAAGTCTTCGTTTTTTATCAGTCAAGCCACACGCACTAGTTTTATGACGAGGATTTCATTTGCTAAAAGTCATTGAAAAATTACCGTCTATTACTCTAAAGAAAACAATCCATCTCGATGACGAATGAGGCTTTCGTTGGACTATCGTTCTCAGCTTCCATCGATTCATTGTGCTTGTTGCTTCATCAAACAGTTACGATGAAATAATGTATCTATCAATGGCAAGTCTCAGTAGATTAACATTCTCATCGATCAGCAACTGTCACATTTAATACTGATCCACTATCTCGAAAATGTTAACATTCGGAATAAAAAGTATGTCTGTATCTCATATTTATTGAGTATGTATTGATCGATACTAGAACAATCAATAGAATTTTAAATTGAATTTAAAGAAAAGGAAAATAGAAATCTATAAATGAGAAGACCTTTAGTCTCATCCTCAAGGTGCGTGACAACTCTATAATGTACCTCTTGAGACAATTCCAAGTTTAATTAGAAAAGAATACATATTATCTTCAACTTTTTTTCGAGATTGTTTCACGATAAATATGATTTATTTCTAGTTTATCGAAATTCTGGAGTAAAAGAGAAAGTTCAAAGTATCGAGTTGTACAAATGTTAATAATAGAACATGAAATAATAAAATATTAATGTTCTCATGAATGAATAGATGAGTTAATGTTTCGATGGTGGTCGAATTTTGACGTAAGCAGCAATATTCGGTTGTTTTTCTACTTCTTCACGATTGCGTTTCAGCCAAGAATAATCGTCAAGAACATGATCATCAAGTAAAAGCAGAATATCGATCATTTCATACACACACAAATCAGCCCAAGTCAGCTGATTTCCGACAAAGAATGGACCACCATTACTGTATATTTTAGCCAATGTTTCCAGATTGGTAAAATGCTTGGGTACTTCTTTGATTAAATTCTTTAGAGCTTCTTGTTTCTTTATTGTATCTTCTTCTCTACGAAATGACATGTATTTAACAGCGATATCACCCACTGTATCGACAACAGCATCGACTTTGGCTTCTTCGAGATTGTCTTTACCTGCAAGATAAAATTGTTTGGCAAGAAAACGAGCAATGGCTACTGATTGAGGCAATTTGACGCCATCGAATTCCAGTACAGGAACTTGACCTAGCGGCATATCGGCTTTATGCGATGGCCATTCAGTTCGTTCATATCGAATGTCATCGTATGGTTGTCCAGCAGCAGCAAAAATGAGTCGAGCAATTTCAGCACGACCACGTGTGTTGAAATAATACAATTTGTATGTCGACATTGCTTTATATCGATGCGTTTGTTTATGCACAAATGAGGAGAGACTATTATATCTATGAAGGAATAGAATAATCAAGATTGCTTTTCTTTCTTTCTTTTTTTATCGTTTCATGCATGAGCAATCGTCAACGAAGAAAACGACTTCAATAACAACACGACGAGACTAACTGATCAAACAAATTGTTTATCGAGAAAATGTGTTTTTTTGAAGAATAAAGATGTAGATTTTTTTTTTACCAGTATAACTAAATTTTCCCCTAGCTACGAGCAATATAAGAGAATATGATCGATTGAATAACTTCGAATGGTGGACCTTAAAGGCATTGATTTTTATTGAATATATCAAAGAAATGAGCTGTAGTGTTAATACATTTCATGACACTCGTCAATCAACTTCTGATGAAAAGTAAATGTTATTTTCTCAGATTGTGTGATGTGATTTCAAAAGGTGAAAGTTACTTATTACTATATTCTTATTGAATATTTAAATTCAAATTTCAAATACTATCTATGCAACGATATCATTTATACAAGAAATCAATCTAAAACAAGCAGCAGTTGTTTTCTTTGCAATCTTTCCTATCTTATATACATTTACAAATGGAACACAAAACGATAAATGTGCACTTTCAATTCTTTATAAACAATATCAAGCTTTGGTCTTTATTTCTATATTCGTGAACATAGATGTATTCAGTCAAAATTTAACCAGAAAGATAAATATATAACGTAACTCTCATTTGACAAATACGAATAAAAATTGAAATACCGTTTCTGTCTATCGAATAGGAATCATTCCAAGTTGATTTATATTTTTGAAAAATAATCGATTCCAAAGATTTTTCATAAAATAGTAAAAATAAAAATTTTTATACGTTGAAAAAATTACATAGGCAAATGTTATTCACCAACAAACGAATAATGAATCTGACTAATTATAAGATAGAGGATATCAAGAACTACTTGAACAACAGAGAACTACTCGAATCTTAATCTGACTTTCATGCAAATTTTTATGCTCGACTCTTTGAATTCAAAACAATTCTATTCTCCTTCCCAATGAAAACAATACAGATTTTTTTTGTCATTTTATAAACCAGATTAAAATAAGATAATACTTTAAATTTACAAACTATTTCAACATGAACTTTAATTCAAAATATACGAATATTAATGTAAACCGATCGATTCAGTAATAAAAAATTGAATGCCTTAAAACGACGTTTTTAACCATTTCAATTCTACATATATATTATATTGAATAATGAATGCGGTTTCTTTTGTCTATTGTTTCATATAAATTGTAAAACTACGGGAGCGTGGATGTGGGTGTGATTGAAGAGGGAACCATTATCAACACCTTCACTCTATTCAGCATGCACAGCCACACCCACATTTGAATTGAGAAACTCTAAATAATAACATTTCACTTTTTTCTTAATTAATGTGCAATCAGCTTGTCTACAAGTAAATATATAGAATATTTATCAGAGCAAAAACGAAATAAATATATTGAGGGGTGTGGGTGGGTGTGGGGTGTGGGTGTGGGTGTGGGTGTGTAGAAGTTACCACAAAACTTAAAAGTTTTTCAAAGTTACAAGAAAAATTGTCAAGTGGCAAGTATCCGTCCGAATGATTCAATTTTCGAGGGTGTGGGTGTGAAGAATTACCACAAAACTGGCAAGTTTTTCAATTGTTTTCAATAAAATATTGTCAAGTGGCAAGTACTTGTATGGCAGATCTCGAAAAATTTTTAAAGAAAATTTTGGAAATAAAATACTAAAAGATGTAGTATGTTGTGGGCTGACGGCGGTGGCGATTGAAGCCCACATTATTTGGAGTTTTGCAATGCGGATGTGGGGAGAATTGTTCGTTTCACGGGATAAATTTTGTTTTTTGTTGCTGCCATGTTGATTTTCGTGTTGTTTGGTGAGATCATGTGTAGTTGTGAGTTTTTGTGCGTTGGGGGATAAGAATATACCGTATTTGATTGGGAACGGACGCTTGGCACATGTATGTGTCCTGCTGATGTGGATTTTTGTTGCAGATTTTTTTTTTTGTATTGTTTTGACGATAGCGTTTGTTGACCGTGGTGCTTCTAAATGATGTGGTGGTAGTTCCATAGGAGCGGAGGACTAAAGTTTCTACGAGTAATTGTTTTTGGGAGGCCATGGCTGATGGTACTTATTAAAATAGTGTGACTGCCCATGTAGCCGATTTTCCGAAACAATGTACATTATAATGCATTATTTTGCCATAGAAAGTCAATGAATGCAATGGCATTATAATGCAACCTAAATAATGCATTATAATTCATTGATTTTGTAATGCTTTGCAATGCATTGAGGTTTTAATACATTATAATACATTATTTAGATTGCATTATAATGTAATTGCATACATTATTGTTAAAAATGCATTTTAATGGATTCAGAACGTCATAATTTATATCTTAATCCTTTACGCTTACCTTCATACCCTTAACTCTATTTCATTAACCCTATACCTTCAACCCTAAACCTTTATGCCTATATCCTTATTCCTATACCCTTAATACTATATCCTGGACCGTATAACCTTATGCCTATATCCTCATTTCTATACCTTTAATACTATATCCTGAACCCTATACCCTTATGCCTATATCCTTAATGCTATATCCTTAATACTATACCCTTAATACTATTTCCTTAACCCTATCTCCTTAACCGACTACCTTTATTCCTATATGCTTAGCCGTATACCCTTATTCTGATACCCTTCATAATATACCTTTAGCTGTAGACAGCTATATTTTTGTGATTGGTCTTCTTTGACTGTAGGCTAATATGGATTTCCTTTTGACCATGTGCTATGACTTTATGTGAGGAAAAAAAAAAAAATTTTGCTATTGCATTGTATTTAAAGCATGGGTGAAAGTTATCCGAGAGAACGTCGTAACTATTGGTAGTCTTTGGTCGGTGTGCATGGCGAACATATTGGCTTGAATTTTCTTCTTGGTGAATCTGCTTCTCCGTAAAGCTCGAGAAGTTCATNAGATAATTCTTTTAGAGTTTTTATTACAACACTATATAATACCTACAAGCAAAAAAAATTTGTTCTTTCGATCAAGGAGAAAAAACGAACATAATTTGACAGTTGATGTCATTGAAATAAAGATAAACAGATGTACACTGATTTTTTTTTCCATGACATTTTACCATACTCAGAATTATTCCAATAGAGAAATAGTAAGTTTAATCGAACATTGTTTTGTGTAATGAAAAAATGAAGCCATCATGTCTTCTTACTATTCCATGACAGGAAGAAGGAATAACCCGCTTTTCAACTAACTTACAGTATAGACTGCTGTCTGAAAGCAATTCCATTAGCCTGATATCTTCCTTACAACTATAACCAGCTGTAGCTCTGGACAGAAGGTCGGTTTGACTTAAAGTTCTCTCGTTCACTATACAGTTAGTATGCTATCTGACGGATTTTCTGAGACAAATAGTCGTTAATGACTTGTGCGGAATGATTTCATGACTGATGGCATCAAGATTTAAACACAGTACTTTGTAATACATGTTGAACAATGTAGTCACTCACGAGAAAACCTCTTCAGCTATTGTCTTCTGGTTTCAATGATTTTTTTTTGCTTGTAGGTATTATATAGTGTTGTAATAAAAACTCTAAAAGAATTAGCTTACATGACAAAATTCAGGAATTTTGAACAAAGTTTCTTCGAGAGATGAAGCTTTCAAAAAGTACACGTTGAAAGATAATCCAAATATTTTTTCCATTTCATTCGTCTGTATCTATTTTTGTGATACAACATAATTCACATTTTTTCATCAAAAATTTCCTAGGACTTTTTCTTTGTAATCAATAAAACTTAATAAATTGAATTTGAAATAAAATAATTCTATCAAGGACTTATTCTAAAGACATATCATTTTCATAAATAGTTGAATGTAATGAATAAAAACAAAGATTACAAAAAAAAAAAAACACATTAAATAATTATTTTATTTCTTCTTACAGGGTAACTTCACTTACAACACCAGAAACACCTTTGAATAATATAAAAAAATTATTTACTGTACTTGGTACATTAGTAGCAATAACAATTAGTGCTATTGTTTTAGTCTTTTTTTGGTACCGTTTTAAAGCTATTTTAAAACAAAAGAAAAAAAAGAAAAATTTTATTGAACAACAACAACGACATTTTAATTCACCAGTTCTTAATCATCATCATTCAACAGCAATACATTATGCTTCATCGGATACATTAGGTAGTATACATAGTGCACACTTATCTGGTAGTAAAAGTCGTTCAGAAACATTAATTGAACCGCCAACATTACAATCATTATCTATGTATAAAAATCTTGAAGCAATTGATAATGATCATATTAAAACTTTTATTGATGATGAAAGTCTACAACAATATTCAACAGATAATTCAATAGCAGAAATGCAAGCGATTAGTGAATGTTAAGTCTATTGTACTTCTTGTATTTGTGTGTGTGCGTGTGCTTTTTGTTAAATTTAATTAAAAGAAATGTTTGTCCCAACAAGGATACTAAAGCTATCGAACAATCTATGGATTACTATTAACTGTTTCAGCAGAAATTCACATGATTGTATTTATAAGGTAATTAATATTTAGAAGCCATGAAAAATTCATGCAAATATTTGTAAACTTTCTCAAAATCTATTGGTATGTGTGTTCTTTTTATCAATGTAATGCCTGGTTTTCTTGATATTTCCAAACTCAGAATGGTGCTTAGCTTATTGCTGCGAAGATACTGTGTTTTTATGGTATGTTTTAAATGAATACTGTGATCTCCCAGGTTAAGAACATCAGAAAAATTCATTTTCAAAGTACAACTTGAAATTTTGCTTAGCGCAAGACTTTAATGAAAATAGTTTATTGTGAAATTTTCAGGTCTGTTGATTTTTCCTGTCTTGATATAAGAATATCGAATAAGCTATTATAGTATGCAATGAAGATTCACCCTACTTTGATCAAAAGTAAAAATGTCGAAAGGTACAAATGTTGAAAATGATAGTGTATAGGAGAAGAAGTTCTTTCACCCACATTCTAACTCTTACATCCACATTAAGATCTCGCATATTCGTTTTCGACATTTTTATCTTTCAATATTTTTACCTTTCGACTAAAGTAGGGTTAACCGCAATGAACTATTCTAATACACATCTATGCTCAACGTTTCAATTTGAAAATTACTTTTCGCGGTGTGCATAAGATTGTGGATCACAGTATTCAATTAAAAAATACTGTAAAATCTCTACAGCAATAAGCTAAAGACTCGAATTCGTTTAAAAATATTCATATTTTTGAATTAAAAATGATTAATCAGTTGGAAACTTTAATCGTAAGTTAAATAAATCTCGTCAATATCTTATCTTGTAGAAAACCATTTACTCTACAATTATATGCATTTTAAAAATTTCTGTAAACTTTTTCTTGTTGACGGTTCTTGTTATTTCTAAAGAAACGAGAAAAACTGAATTTTTTTTTTCTCAGTGAATATCTAATGATGTACTAGGAATAATCTCATCACACAATTATACCTTACATAGAATGTCATGAATATATTTCCCAGCAATTTTTATAATTGTTTGAAAAAGTTATCAATCAAATAGTTTGCAAAAAGTAAACTATTCATTTGTGTGTTTACATACGTAAATATAACTATTTTTTTTTCAATAGAAATAATTAAAGACCAATCAATCATTGTTGACTAGAATGTTTTCTTTTCCTAGACAATTTACATAACGTTTACTGCAAACTTAATATTATATTGTGTAATGATTCTTTGTTTCAATCAAGTATCGTATCCCATTTACATTCTATTGAGTAAATGAACAATCAAATTAATTGATAAATTATTTGGTTATATTTTTGGTTGTATAGTTACGTTGAGACATTCTCGAATTGATGTTTGCAGAAAAGCAAGAAAAATATCTCTTAGATTTTTAAATAGTAGGATTTTTTATTTTTGTGTAAAAATCCTTCTCTTATTTTTAACAAATATGCCTAAAATATAACATTAGCATTTAATCATAAATCATTGAAAATCTTTCTTTAAAAACACACAACTTATGGCTTTCCGATCAAGTGAATACTTAATTTACCTGTGAAAATTACTCAATTTATTTTATTCCTTCTATTGCACACAAAAATCTTTCATTAATATAATGGAAATACTTGTATACAAGGACTATTCATTTAAGATAATATTTACATAGTAAATATTGAATTATAACAAACTATGTATGTCAACATTTATTCAAATCTATAAAAGTTCTCATGTTCCGAAGTATACTTATCAGAAGTAACTCTTTAATAACAGAGGTTTAGTATTCATTTTTGAACCTGTATTTTTTTTTTTTATTTTAAAATTTCCAAAAAAATTTCTTGCATTTATTTAAATAGTAACTGAAACAAGTATCAGATAATTAACATTACGAATTAAGTTATCGATTATAAGTAACATAAATGACAAAATGAATAGGAACCTATTTTTAAGGTTGTTCTTCTTTCATGTCGAACAAACGATTTTCTTACGAACCAAAGAGAAAAAACGTTCGGATGAATATTGAGGCTACCAAAACTTCATGCGTTTAGCATATTTCAACTTTTGTAGGCTTTTCTGGTATTTTTAAATCTACAAAAAAGTGGCAGATAAAAAAAATACTGTTCGATTTTCGAATTGTCGGCATCTTATATCAATCTTTTGCAAGGTACAAAAATAATGTTTCCATACAAAATAATAGAAAAAAAGACTTCTGCATCTTCTATAAGATTGGTGTATGTCAATGAAAAAACTTTGTAAAGAATTGGTTTTCAGAGATCTTGTTCTTGGTATACTAGTAATCATTTTCATCTGCAAAAATCAATGTAGGAAATAAAATTCTCTAATGAAATTATTACTTAGACTTTTCTTAACTTTTATGACAGCGAAAAAATATTGAAAATAAATCTGGCTGAATCATTTTGGAAATTCCTGCATATTTTTTTATTTTTCTAAACGAAAAATAAATGGTATAAAAGAATGATTAATAAGTATGAAGAATCAAGTTTGTTATTTATTTTTCTATGCTTACCATGAAATACTGATCCACTTGAATGTGCATATATATGTAAAAGGAATAAGAAAATAAAGCCGTAATTTATTTATACTTTAGGCATAGAGTATTTTCAAGTGATAAAAATGATGCATTGATTCATTTAAATAAGAGTATTTCAATCCTGCGGCGTTCTATCGTTATTCAAATATATAGAAATATTTAAGTATATATATATATAAGAATAGGACATCATATTCGTAAATTACATTTTACAATATCAATCGATTGATATACATTTGATGATATCATCAAATTCTAAATATGAGTAGGAAGGTTTTCATGGTATATTAGAATCATTATTTCTAGAACATTAATGAAAATTTGATTTGGTTCATTTGTACATTTTCTTTTTCTGTTTAATTGGATATGAGGGCGTTGTTCGTTTTTAATAGAAAGTTAAGCTGATCATTTAGTAGTGTACGTATATTTGCGTATAGTTCTGTGCACTGATCTCTATTTGTAATTTTGCTAGTTACTATTACTGATGTCCTCCACCGTCCTTTTGTTAATCCTCAACAAATGAAATAAACAGAAGGCAAAAAAAAACATATATATATATATATATATACATTGTACATTGTCCATCGAGGACAAAGCCGTTACTCTTTTTCAAGTGTTCTTTATAAGACAAATAAAATGTGTGTGCACACTTTGCAAGAAAGAAGTAAAGTAAGTAATTGAAATATTGTCATCTTTGCTTGAAACGTACCGATTTGTGCTTGAACGTCTAGACAGTAAGTATGAAAAAGAAGCTCCAAACTATACGTTCTGTTTTTTTTATGAGACCGCTCTTCGGTTAATCGATTTTATTTAACACTTAGGTGTTATCATTCGTATGTATGTGATATTTCTTTATTTTATTCACACTTATAGATTGAAAAAAAAAAAGGAGATGATCTTATTTTGATCCATTTGGACAACAAAAAAAGAAAGACGAATATTCACACCATTAAATGAATCATATTTCAAAGTATGACATATAGAGTAGCATTAAGACGAATCATAGCACTTGTATACATATCACGTTTGTATGGTTTCTTAACAAATGTTGTAATCACTTTCATTTAACAAAAGAAACCAAAAAAAGAAAAAGAACAAGAAACATTCTTTTTTATTCTCCAGATTTATCACTTATCATGGCATCATGTTCAGATTTAACTAAACTTTCATCAACGACGGATTGTCAACCTATCATAAAGGTACGAAAAAGAAAATCATAATTCGATTCTAGAAAATATTTACTTATACAATAAATTGAATAAACAAGAATATCTTGACCAACTATTCATTTCAAGGTTAAAATGTTTCTTCTCCTGTCCGTATGTTATAAAATCAAAATTTTTTTTTTGATTTTTAGTTTAAGCCGAGTCTCGAAATTCATATCAGAAAAGTTTGTTTTGCGCATTTTTCCTGCATCTCTTCCACATGAGACGCTCGATCAAATTGGGGTGCGCATTTTTTTTCTTCTTCAAACTTTTGCTCTACTTATCTAGATCTATTTGTCTTTTGAAAGTTTAATAACTCTTTGTCGAGTCATGTTCGAGAAACTCCGAAAAGGGAGACTTGCTTAAATGACCATAGCCATTTTTCGGACAAATTTTGATCAATTAATACTATTTAACTCGAAATTTCTCTATTGAAGAAAAAAAGTAATATACAAGACATCAATCTATGTAACATATATAAGATGTTTTTGTTTTCGTTATCTATATTTATGATAATCTCATTTGAAATTACAATAAATAATATTGCGCATTGTCGTGTATAAGCAATAAGATTATCACATTCGAAAATCATCTTATTGCAAAAAGAAAACAATCAACCAGACGATGTAAAAGTGTTATAATATATATATACATGACAAGTCGGAGTACACTTTGATGTAATTTGAGATGAGCTTATCATGAAAATAAGCAACGAACAAAAAAAAAAAAACAGTCATGAAAAAATGTCATTAAACTTAACGAAGACTATATAGATCGATTTCTCGAAGTTCGCTCTTTTTAATAGCAACACTTCGAATTCAATCGTGTTAATAAAATAAGAATGATGCCAAAAAATAATCACAGATGCTGAACTCCTAAATGGACATTAGCTAGTTGATAAATTATTCGAGTTACATCAATGAAAAATTTAGTTGATACAGTCGATGTTATCCCATTTATCACATTCTATTCTTTAACGATACTGTATGTATTGTCAAGGTCGAATGGTCATATAATTAGAAAAGAAAAAGAAATGATGTTGCCAATTTCCGTTAGATATATGTCAAATCTTGATGAGAGTAACTGGAACGACAAGAAAATTTATGCATATGTTGTACAACACAACCTTCTCAAG